AACCAAACTTTGTTGAAATAATCAATATAATCTTTGATCGAATCAACTTTATTTTGATTAATTATATGCATTGTAATACCAATTCTCATGAGACATGAATGGAGTAATAGAATATCTAAATAAAGAAGTTTGTAAAGTATTGAAATTTTTGTATTAAAGGCTGACAAGTTTCCTGTGTAAAAGCTTGTTTTTGAAATGAAATAGGCATCCATGTATACGGACTTAGGGAAAAATTTGGAAGTGCCTCTATTCATTCCCTTTTCAAAATCACAATATTTTGATTAGCTTTGAAATGAATACCTTGACAGTAAAAATATATTCAACATGCCTTCTTATAAGATTCAAATGCGCGGTTTTTCATGAATATTAATAAAGTGGTAGATATTTGATTTGCTTGAGGTTTACAAATCATATGTTAGTATCTGTCCTTTTTGAAAATGTTTTGGTGTAATTTTAAAAGTTTCATCGCAAAAATAAATCTGTGGCTTCTTTTTGCATTGAATTGCTCCTTCTCAAAACCAAAAACATCGTCTACCAATTTGCTTGAAAATCATGGCAATGAAAAACTGCTTCGCCCTTTATTAAAACAAAAATTAGCAATTCATTGTCGTAATTTTTTCTCCAACAGAAATTTTCTGGACTTATTATAAACTTCCCTGACCAATGAATCTTTAATTAATGGGTCATCAGTACCAACAGCAAGTTCTGTCATAAATTTTTATCTGCTGAAAGTGCCGTTGTCTTCAGAAAATTTTGCCATTGCCTTATTGTATATTTTCTGTCAGAGTCATTGATTTATGAGATCATTTTTTTCATTTTGTAACTTTTTAAATTGTCTGCATGGTATATGTTCTTTTGATAATCTTTCGGAACGAACTGTTCTCAATTTTAACTAAATAACGTGTTGACAAGAATGATCGATGCAACGGTAGTAACGTTCAATATTATTTGAATTATAATATTAGTATGATCATGCGAATAAAGCATATCTTTGCGAACATTGTATCAGGATATTTTCCAGTTAACTTGCGGGATATTTTTAACTGCATATAACTAAATATCTTCTGACAGCTTTAGATTCATTTTCGGCGTATTTAAATATTAAATATTGAAGAACTTGTTTGATTATATTTCGTTTTTTCATTGTCTCGATTGTTGATTTTTGGTATTTAGTCAGATTGTTCCTGATAAATATTTTATTTTGTCTGTAAAAGTTTGCTCTTTTTTGATTAAATATAGATGATTTTCCCATTAAAAAATGAAAATATGCAAATTTACGAAAAACCGTTCGAAATTGAATCAAAAATGGAAAATATATACTTAAATGAGATAAATTTTTTGAAGATATTAGGTCTTAATTGAATGTAGCGTCATTCTTATATAGAATATATATTATATCATCGGAAATATATAAAAGCATATATAAATGTCAAAAAAGTGAACAAATAGCAAGATATTTTTAAAAACAATGAAAAGTAATACTTAATGAGGAATTCTTTGAGATATTGGTCTTTAGTTGAATGTTAGCGGTCACAAATTTCCAAATATAATTTACTATACAATCTTTATTCATTTTTGTAAAATGGCTGACAACAGTCTGTATTCAACTAATCAACTAGTCAAGCATAATGATTATTTTCGGATTCATTAATCAACTTTATCAATGCATAAGTACATGACAGAAGATCAATGGCATGCTTGAATTTGGATAAATTTTTTCAAAAAAATCCAGTGACTGATGAAGTTCTTTTACATTTTTTAGCATCCGTTTTTAAACATTTGAAAAGATATAGGGTGGTCCAAAGGTCGTTAGCACAGCGCTCTATATGAGACTATTAAAGGGATCTATGCTGATTATAAATATATAATAAAAAATGATGAATATATGTTATATGATGAGTGAAGTTGTATTTTGGCGCCATGCCGGATATAAAATGAATTTTGAGACAAAGAGCGGTTTCCGCGGAAATTTTGGCTGGGATTTTTTTCATTTTTTTAATGATCATAAAGAAAATCCTCGCTCTTGCAAAAAATGCAAAGACTGTAAAAAATCTACGAGGACCATTCGGTAAAATGCTTCGGTATGGATGCTCTAGCTATTCCACTGTAACGTATCATGTTAGATGTATCACTTCATGAACAAAAAGGGCGCCATCATAAAAATTTGACAAAAAAATCGCCGGCAAAGAAAATCAAAGCAATTCTTCAGCGCTAGATGAAGACCCAAGAGCAATCATCTCAGAAGGATTAGAGGAGATGACAAAGATACCAGCGTACAACAGTCAGTTTATTATCGCACAATTATTTGAACTACAAACTAAGGCGTTAATACACGTTGGTGTCCGCACAAACCTTTAACCTCAGTTCAAAAAATCTAGGTCCAATCTTCGAAGAGCTCCTCTCTATGATTGCGTGCGTATCAATCAGAAGTTTTCGCTTTTTAGTAACAGGGGATGAGTCTTGGTTTCAATATGCAACAGAAGCCAAAATCATTGTGGATCGAAGGATGAAGATCGCAAACATTCCCGGAAGAAAAAAATTGACACACCAATGATGATGTTGTCGGTTTTTTGGGGCGTGAATGGCATTCATCGGCAATTGATATTCTTCAAAAACCTTAATACGATGATGCTCAGTATCTAATTGACAATGTTCTACTCAAATTATCAATTCTGATGAGTTTGAGAAATCCAACAAACAAAACAAAAAGTTTGCATTCATTTTGATAATTCAAGAGTTCACAAAAGTCATAAGGTAATGAATTACTTGTTGGAAAACAATGTCAAAGTTGTTCCAAACCCATTTATTACCTGATATTGCACCCTCTGACTTTTTATTTATTCGGCACGCTAAAAAGAGAGCTGAAGGACGCTAAAATTTTATTCGCGAGTCCAGATGATTTGAAAAATTTTGTAGAGAGCAATTTGAGCAATTTTCTCATGATGATTTAAAGCGTGTCTTTCAAGCCTGGATCGATCGCTGCGAACGCGTGAGTTGAATCCAATGGGTGATTATATTTAAATAAACTTATATATATGTAACTTGTTTATTTCTATTCGCAGTATTCAGTTTGTGCTAAACACACTTTGGACACCCCTATTCAGAATGTTTCAAGGATTCTATTTTTTATCACAATATTAATCTTGAAAAATTCAGTAATTTAACTGAAACAGAACAAACAAACAATTTTAAATTTCCTACAAGCGGATAAATTTACATATTACATAATGTGCTCACAAATTGTAAATCAAAACTGGAACATTTATCCCAAACTTTAGTTATATTGCAAATCAATATTTGCCATTTTTAGATGAAGAAAAAGCAAATATATATATTTACTGAAATAACTGGCAATTATCAAAATTTTGAATATTCAGTTGCAATTTGTTACTTTTTTATGAAAACAATGAAAGAAAATTAAAGCAACTGTTTTATTTAACATTGTTCTCAGCAAATTTATCCAAAATGGAATCGAGCAAATGATATTTTTTGCTTGCAAATACAATTTGTTGCAATAACACTTCTCATCAATTTTTACAATCTCCTTGAAATTGAAGAAATGGAATCCATTTGATTTTTTTTATTTCTCAATTCAATTATAAGAGATATTAAATTGCGATGATTTTCCAAAAAGTTACAGAAGTAATCACAGGGTTTAATCTCGCTTCAAATATTAATCTATTATGCGATATTGCCAAAAAAATGGATAAAATACATTTTATAAATGTAATTATTGCCATATTACCTCAATATGGAATTTTATCCACAAATGCAACAATAATTCTTCCTGTGAAGATATTTAATCAAATTATTAAAAATTCATAGAAAAACAGGAAAAGACACAGATGAGATTATTCGAACCGAGAATGATTTGGGTTTCTATGAATATTTAAATTCGATTTTCTCAGTATTACATCTGCGAGAAATAAGCAATTTTCTTTGGAATTCTAAATACCCATGAAGATGACTTCATTATGATCAAACATTGTGAGGTCATTTTTGATCAACAAATTAATGAATTCCGATCAAAAAAAATTCAACAAATTGGATCAAAAAAAATCGAATCTCAAGTTAAAAATAAAAATTTTTACATTTTTATCAAATTTAGATTTTTTTTTTCAAATCATGCGAATTGATTGAATAATGCATATTTTATCCCATGCATCTAGAAGTATGTATATATTTTGCTTTCATCAAGAAATTGTCGAATTTGATCTTAATTTTTTTTGAAAAATATACTTTTAGAAAAGAAATAGTGATTGAATAGCTGCCCATGCTGATAAAAGGGTTATTTTTACAAGTAAAAATTGTTATTTTTCGAGCAAGTCGAGGCTTTTTTACCATCTTATTTTTGAAAAATTTACGAAAAATTATATCTTTCGTACACGGACCAAGCAACACTCAAGGTGCATGCTCATTACAGACAAAATCCCCTCTAGTGCACTTTAATTGGGTGAGTTAGCATCAAACAAGCCATAAGTTAAAGATCTGAACTTGCTCCAGACAATGTATTCACTTTAGTTATGAATGCACCAGAAAATCCGTCCCAAACTCATACATTTCCGCTAATCACGAGTAATAAATATACTATTTTGTACTTTTTACAATAAATCTCTCTTTGTTACACTAAAATCAATGTGCATTTCGTTGCACCAGTTTAGAATCTTGTTAAATAATGATTTTTGTTACTTTCATGATACAGTCCCATTTAGTAAACGGATTATTTTACAAAATAAAAATAAAAAATATATTTTTATTTACGATTTTTTATATTTGGATTTTTAAGGCATAATTTAGAAAATATAATAATTTAATCGATTTGATATTAAGAAGACATTTAAAATTCATAAAAGATCCAAATAATTTCATATCCAAAGTTATTAATATTTGAAGATTTGAGGAAAGAAAAGGAGAATATTGCATATGAAATGTTTTCAAAAATACATCAGAAATTGTAAAAGAATTTTAATAATTAATAAGATTTGATGGTTAAAATTGTGATGAAACACCAGATGCTAACTCACGCCACACATACACAGAGCATTCTATCACGCAACACCGATGCTAACTCACGCCACACATACACAGAGCATTCTATCACGCAACCACCCGATGCTAACTCACGCCCAACATACACAGAGCATTCTATCACGCAACCACCCGATGCTAACTCACGCCACGCATACACAGAAGCATTCTATCACGCAACCACCCGATGCTAACTCACGCCACACATACACAAGAAGCATTCTATCACGCAACCACCGATGCTAACTCACGCCACACATACAAAGAAGCTTCTATCACGCAACCACCCCGATGCTAACTCACGCCACGCATACACAGAGCATTCTATCACGCAACCACCGATGCTAACTCACGCCACACTACACAGAAGCATTCTATCACGCAACCACCCAATTTGACATTAATATTCATAAATATATTTATCAAACTTATATGCACCCAACGAATTTTCAAATTCCATCAACCACTTCTTTATTTTTTATATTTTACAATTCTCTATATTACAAATTATTCAAAAAAAAATATGAAATCAATAAGAATTACTGCTCAGTTTACTTAGATCCAACAGATGTTAGATTGAACATAAGCACATCTTCGGATGATTACGATTTTAATTATTCTTATTATCAACCAACATTTCAATACAAAGTTATAAATTACACAACAGACCATCTTTATTTCTCACCGACATTATACATTTTGTTCAGAAGTAAATCTCCGAATACAGTTGCAACAATCAAAATTTCACAAAGTTTTTCTTAGAGTATATAAGAATTTCCGAAAAAGTGACACCCAAAAAGTGACACTTTCAATAGGGAGTAACAGTTAAAAAGTGACAATTTAAAATTCACAATAAATAAAAATAATAAATTTTTTAGTCTATTAAATTATTCTTTTCTTTGAAATCCTCCAAAAATTCTTCGAAATGTTCTAAAATATAATCTGGAGAATTATAACAAAATTCATTAATTTCTAACATATACGTATCTAACAATTCATTTGGAATTTCAAACGATCTTAAATATGTAATTGAATTTTGTATCTTCTCATTTATTTGAGAAAGTTTTTCTTCAGCATTTTCCAATAAAAATCTTAATGGATTCAAATTGGCTTCTTGATTCTGAACAAAATTTAATACTTGGTATAAACGTGATTGAACTTCTCTTTTCAATTTTGTTTTATAATCTGTCAATCGAGGCTCGCGAATTCTAATTGAAGGAATAAAACCTGTTTGAAGTAAATCGTTTTTAATACGATAAAAGTAATTGGGTGCAACTTCTTCTAAAAGATTTTTGACAAAAACATCAATTCTTTGATTTTTAACGCAGCCAAAATCGTGATATTTTATCTTTTTAAATAAAGATTCAGAAACGTTATTCACAACGGTTAATTCATTTGGTCTGGCAGCGGCTATCCACATCATAGCCAACAATTCCTTATACAAAATTCAAAAACTTTGGTGCAATCAGTTCTGATTGCACCCAAGTTTTTGAACTTTCTTGAGGGAATTAAAGGGTGAGAGATTTATAGTCTATCTATATATCTCCCACCCTCTAATTCCCTCCCTGACAGCGGGAAACTTTGTCTGAATGTTAAACTATTCAGACAAAGTTTCCCACTGTTTGCGAAGGAATTGTTGGCTATGATGTACTGATTCATGATCAGTACAACATAGCCAACAATTCCCTATATAAAGTTCAAAAACTTGGGTGCAATCAGAACTGATTGCACCCAAGTTTTTGAACTTTCTTGAGGGAATGGAAGAGTAAGAGGTATACATTATGAATATATACCTCTTACCCTTCCATTCCCTCTCTGACAGCGGGAAACTTTGTCTGAATGTTAAACTATTCAGACAAAGTTTCCCGCTGTCAGCGAAAGAATTGTTCCATCTGGTGCATAGAGTGTGAATCTATGCACCAAATGGAGCAAGTCCCTCGCGAAATTGCCCAAACTTGCGTCGCATTTCAAAGATTGCGACCCAAATTTTGGCGATTTCTAGTAGAGATGGAGTATTTTGAGTCACTGACCTATATGCAGTGGCTCAAAGGGCTCCATCTCTACTTTGAAGCAAGGAAACTTTCCTCGAAATTTTGATAATTTGAAGAAAGTTTTCAAGCAATTAACAAAGGATTACTCGCTATGAGGTAAAAATTCTAGATTTTCACCTCATAGCGAGAGCTTCCCTTTCATTGCTTGAAAACTTTCCCCAGCTTCAAAATTGGGGAAAGGGCTGTAAAGTCGACTCCGATACCAGCAGGTACCAGAGTATTTAAAAGAGAAGCCCTCGTACGAGTTTCTATGAAGACCTTCTCATTCAAGAAGATCTTAATAGAAAATCGTACGAGGGCATTGGAAACTCGCGTCTGGTACATGTTGGTACCAGAGTGTTTGAGATTTGAAGACTCTGGTACTAACATGTACCAGAATTTATGATGAATTTAAGATGGACCATTATAAAATGGTAGCGGTTTGCTTCAAAAAATTTTAGATGAGATTTGCATAGATATAGATTATATGATTTATACATATGAAAAATAATATATAAAAATATAATTTTGAGATAATTATGTAAATAATATTATAAATATTTGAATTTGAGGTATAATTTTATAGTAAAATATATTATAAAGAGTATTTATATAAATATTGTAAAATAATATAAGTAATAAAAATTGAGACCCCTCCCTGTTTTTGATGTTTTGTCACTTTTTCGGTAATTCTTATTGTTTCCTTTATTTCTCACCGACATTATACATTTTGTTCAGAAGTAAATCTCCGAATACAGTTGCAACAATCAAAATTTCACAAAGTTTTTCTTATGATACATACAGTGCTTATGATAAGGACAAGCTCGAATATCTTTGCAACCAATCAATTTCTTTTGGATCCCAGCCAAAATACAAAATATTCGGAATTCAAAAGTTATTAATTGGCAGAAATCAAACAAAACTTAATTTTTATAAGGAACAATACGTAGTATTTACTGATTATCGCAACATTTCCGGAGAAGCAAGAACTTCAGAAGTATCTTTAGAAATTCTTGGAAATACACAATATTCAGCAATTTATTTCGCTCACACAGGTACAATTACATTAGAATCCTCCAGTGACGAACCTATTCCATGTAATTTTGTTGTTTTTAATTTGAATTATTATGATTGCACTTCGATTATCACAAATGTAAGGTCTAATTACAAATTCACTTCTCAGGACACAGCTCATACATGTGTTGTTACTGCTTTCACAAATGGAACAGTTCATTTCGAAGATGGTGATATTTATGATGTCTATGGAAAAATAAATAGAGCTAATATTATTGTTGAAAAACCTTTTCTAACAATAACTAATTCTAAACACGATTACTTATTTTTTTATCATGCTGGCGACAAATATAATACATCATATTTAATCAAAGGAAATAATTCAACTCATAGATCTCTTATCATTTTTGATAATTCGTATCATGAAATAAATTCATCAGAACCAGTTGAACAAAAATCAGATGATCATAATTATTCTGATGATGATAGTGATGAAGGACTAAGTGAAGGTGCTGTTTTGGAAATTATTATTGGAGCAGCAGTTGGAGCAGGTCTCATTGCTGTCGCTGCTTACTTATGTTATAGACACAGAAAATTCAGAGCTGAAAATCCAATTAATCAAAGCCTTGTTGATAAAACCGAAAAAGATTTACCTTTAGAAGAAACGAACAGCAATCCATATCCTAATGAATATAAAGCACCAGCATATAATCCAAAGCAAGAACAATCAAATACTTATTTCGAGAATCCTTATGAATAACTATTTTTTTATATATTGTTTATGAACGAATCTTTAAAGATTTATAATGTTTTTTTTATTACAATTCTTATTACTCCCATAAGATTGAGCGTGTGAAAATAAGTTTATAACAACATTATCAACATTTTAGGCATCTCAATTATTAAGAAACATAAAGTATTTAGTAATATTGAATCAAATTTTATTATATAGGATGGGAGATAATTTTAATTGATAACAATAAGACTATCATTACCATCAAGCATTGCAATTCCTCTTTTATGTCTTAAAAAAAAAGAAAAAAGAGAGGAAACACAATCAATAATTCATGAACATTTCATTGATAATAGAAGTTGTCTATTAGAAGAAGTATCTAATAAATCCGAACCATTACCTTTAGAAGAGGTTCAAATAAATCCATATTTAATCGAAACAAAAGAAATACCAAATTATTCACAAAAATCGAAATCATTATTCGATAATCCTTATGAATAATTCGTGTCAGCTTTCATATGCTTTTATTGACTTTTCTTTTTATTCTGTAATTAAAATTTAATTGACAAAATTTATGCTTTAAACTGCGAATCAAAAGGCGGACCTATCAATTTTTGAATAGTTTACATTTCTAATGCTAACGGTGCCTTCACTGAGAGCGAGAGAAAATTATTAAATATTAGAGCTCAAATAAGCTTCACGTGCAATAGGTAGCAAATCAACTTCTATTTATGCTTAAATTTCTGGTTTGAAGCTTGTATTAAATTTCGAAATCTTAAATTTTGAAGTTAGACCCGAAAAAATCGTATCAGTTCATCCTATATTTATATCTGTTTTATGATCCTTTGTTGTTATATCGAATTAGAGCAAATAGCTTGTGCGGTCCAAAAGGTGTACCTGGCAGAAATCGACTTTTTGAGAGAAACTCATATAATTAATTGTATGACTTCTCTCAAAAAGTTGAAGGTAGGTACGCCTTTTGACTCGCAGTTTATATCCAAGAACATCAAATTAATTGAAACATGTTTACTAAGATAATATTGTCTCTTCTTGGTGGTAATATAGTTTCAACATCAAACAAACTAAATATAAAATTATGTATTTTGAGATTTGGACTTTACAAGGAATTCTCAATAGCAAAATGTTGTATTTCTGAAGCATTAATTTTTACAAATCCATGGTTATTCGCACACGTATTAATTTCAATCACTCATAATCCTTTTCTAATCCAATTTCTCTTTTTTGGATAGTAGCTTAGATGCATAAGGCAATTACGACCTTCTTCATTTTTGTTCTTGAGGACTGATTCATGAAATATTGACCCATTCTGATACAAAAATTTTGGATCCACTTTTATTTTATTTTTAAAATTTTAAAAATAATACATTAAAAGGATTATCCAATAAACTAAAATGAT